TAAAGGATTATATGCGTATTTTTATCAGAGGATGGATGATTCTGGGTGGGGGTTGCCTGTTCTGCAGCGAGGGCATTGTCGAAGTCGGTTCCAGGTTTTGGCTCTATAAGGTTTCCCATTTGCACATGGCGGAACTGGTATATGCCGTCGACGTACGGCAGTGGTTGTTGCAAACTGTAACTGAGCGACTATACTCTTAACCAATCAGCTATACGTTTTATATATATATATATATATATATATATATATATCTCTCTGTCTCTCTCTCTGTTACCTTTTCTTGATAGACATTAGGATTTCTTTGGTGAAACCACGTTGCTGTGGTTTTTGTATACGGGGCATGGATTGTGATGTAGATATGAGCTGTGATATCTTTTCAGATTTACATTAATTTCAGGATCAACGTGATTATCTTATTTCAACTCCCATGCCAGATGGAAATCTTTGCTACAATGATCTGTTAGATGCAACTGTGCTGGTATTATTATCTCTTTACTCACATCTTGTGTTGTTTCATCAAGCTTAACTTCTTGTTATTATATATCCCTTGATGTTAACCCTTATGAAATTTGGTGTCAATGTTTGCACTTGACAGCTTTTCCAGAAGTCGTATCCAAATGAAGAATTCTTTTCCGAGACACCCTCACCTCAGAATTTGGAGGATGACGTTCCGATTAATCTAGAGGACTAATAGTATAAGGCCATTACCCGAGTCTCTATTGTCCCCCTTTGATATTCAATAATACATCCGTGTTCTGTACACGTTTTAAAGATTTGGTAAAGTTCACTTTTTTTAAAAGGCAAACATGCAATACGCGTATTATACATGTACGTACATATTTTTCATGTTTAATACATGTATTTTTTATATAAAATTTTCAATAATACACAGCTTCACGTATTATACATATAATTCTCACATATTATTGAATAAACATATATATATTAAACAATTTAACTTAATTATATATATATTTTAATTAAATAATATAGCCGCGAGTCTATACCTTATAAATACGTATTTAAAGAGTATCGCCGTGCGGCTATGCTATGGTTTTTGACATGTGGGCGCCTAGCCATTAGACGGGTCCTCTTTTTTCATATTTTACTTTATTAATAGTATTTCCATGCGGCTATACACGGTTTTATAAATATTTTTTTATTTCATGTAACTTTTCGAGATCTAGAACGTCCCAAGTCACTGGAAGCGGCTTGAGTTCTCCAGACCCCCAAAAAACACTGTTTTCTGCTGTAAAACTGGATTACATCTTCCCAATGTAACAGCATAGACATTTTTTCCTTACAGTTTCTTAATGTCATGCAATTAAAACTTCAATTTTGAACATAGGAGACAGTAAGTGATGGGCAGACATATTGTTCAAGTACATAGGAGACAGTAGCAAAATAGAATGGAGAGTGTTGTTCAAGTACATATAACGAGCAACAATATTGAAATGTTTCATATTAGATGGGCTAATTTTTGTTTTAATTATTAACTTCAGGGTCTAGGGTTCAAGTCACTAAAAGGGCACACTTGGGTTTCTTTTAAATATTTTTTTATTTTTAAGTGTTTTCGCTTGTTAATTCTACTCTGATGCTTTTGTCACGGCACATGTGCGCACCCTGTTCGACAAGCCTCCCATAGGCATGTTGATGGAAAAAACCTATGCCGACGAAATTTCGTCGGGAGAGGTCTACGTGACTTGACGAAATTTCGTCAGGAGGGGTCTTTTAAAAAATATATATATATAAATTCAGGATTTTTAGGTTAATTAATTTTTTAAAATTTTATTGTTAGTAATTAAATAACATATTTGCCTTATTTAATAAGTGAAATTAGCAATGATATTTTAAATATTATTTATTCAGTGAATAATTAGTATTAAATTTAATAATTAACTTCTTGAATTATATTACTTAATAAATAGTAATTCAATTTTCCCCTTTTTATTTTTCCATTTAATATTCACTAAGTAAAACATAAATACTAATCTAAGTAATTAAACGGAGAGCCACTTGAAGGGTATAGCCGCGCGGTTGGACTTTTAAAATATTCTATATTCGGATTACAGCCACGCGGCTATTCTTTTGAGGTGCCCTTTGTGAACACCCCACATTGAGCCTTGGGGCTCTTGGGCTTTGGAGAGATTTAATTAAGACACCCAAACGAGAATAAGCAATTTATTTATTTTCGTTGTTGACATATCCTTTCAATTTAAATTTGAATGAAATTAGGTTTGAAAATTGCACAAAATAATTTAAAATAATTAATTACTATTCATTGAGCAATTTATGAAATAAGTAACATATTCAAATAGTCACTAAAGAAATAATAATTAAAATATAATTACTAATTAAAGTAATTCAAAAAGGATATGATATTACTTAATCACATATATTAAATAAAGGAAGTTGGCCAAAAGAAAAAGTAAAGAAACTAATTTTAAAAATTAACTGAACACTTCTCCTAACGAAATTTCGTCGGCATAGGTCGATGCCGACAAAATTTTCCGGATTAGGTTTTCCCCGACAAAAAAACCTATGCCAACAAAATTTCGTCGAGAGAGGTCTTTTAAAAATATATATATATATATATAAACTCAGGATTTTTAGGTTAATTAATTTTTTAAAATTTTTTGTTAGTAATTAAATAACATATTTGCCTTATTTAATAAGTGAAATTAGCAATGATATTTTAATTATTATTTATTTAGTGAATAATTAGTATTAAATTTATTAATTAACTTCTTGAATTATATTACTTAATAAATAGTAATTCAATTTTTCCCCTTTTTCTTTTTCCATTTAATATTCACTAAGTAAAACATAAATACTAATCAAAGTAATTAAATGAAGAGCTACTTGAAGGGTATAGCCGCGCGGTTGGACTTTTAAAACATTCTATTATTCGAAGTACAGCCACGCGGCTATTCTTTTGAGGTGCCCTTTGTGAACACCCCACATCGAAAATCCACAATCCTAAAAAGCTCTTTATAAACAGAGCACTATGGTGGTTTGGTAAGTGTGGTTAACATTTGAGAGTTGGGGGTAATGGGCTTGGCTACAGGCTCGGCTTCGGATTTGGTGCCGATTAATAATAATTATATTATATTAATCAAAGACTTGGGCCTTGGGGCTCTTGGGCTTTGGAGAGATTAATTAAGACACCCAAACGAGAATAAGCAATTTATTTATTTTTCGTTGTTGACATATCCTTTCAATTTAAATTTGAATGAAATTAGGTTTGAAAATTGCACAAAATAATTCAAAATAATTAATTACTATTCATTGAGCAATTTATGAAATAAGTAACATATTCAAATAGTCACTAAAGAAATAATAATTAAAATATAATTACTAATTAAAGTAATTCAAAAAGGATATGATATTACTTAATCACATATATTAAATAAAGGAAGTTGGCCAGAAGAAAAAGTAAAGAAACTAATTTTAAAAATTAGAAATTTTAAAAAAAAATTAATTGAACACTTCTCCTAACGAAATTTCGTCGGCAGAGGTCGATGCCGACAAAATTTTCCAGATTAGGTTTTCCCCGACGAAAAAAACCTATGCCAACAAAATTTCGTCGAGAGAGGTCTTTAAAAATATATATATATATAAATTCAGGATTTTTAGGTTAATTAATTTTTTAAAATTTATTGTTAGTAATTAAATAACATATTTGCCTTATTTAATAAGTGAAATTAGCAATGATATTTTAAATATTATTTATTTAGTGAATAATTAGTAATTTATGGGTCCTATTAGTAAAGAAAGCAATTTATGTTTTTAAGTTGATCACCTGTCAGCTTTCCTGCTGAAGGCAATTTATGGGTCCTATTAGTAAAGAAAGAAAGCTAGTCTCATGCCAGGGATATGTTTCTATTTCTAGGCATCTTAAGAAATATTAAATATAATTGAAGCAAATCGGGGAGCATTTTTACAGAAGTAGAAACTATAAAATAATGAAAGCAGAAGTCAAAAGAGTCAGGTCCTTGTGTCAAATGAAGAAGTTGCCAACTGAGTTGAAATCGAACATCAGTAATTATAAAGGAGTGCCCCTCTGGTGTGCTTTCAGTTTGCAGTGCTTCCATATTCCAGACAACAACCTACTGACATGAAAAAACGAAAGAAAATCATTCACATCATTCCTTTTCTCATTAATCAATTGAAGTCACTAATTTGTTATCAGATAACAAGTACCTAAACCCAATCCGTAAATCAATTACTTAGCTTACAACAAGACTTGAACCTGGGCTCTTCGGTTCGGTTTCAATTCGAAAGGAAAGTGAGGGGAAATCTAATAGGAAAGAATTATAAAGCATGTCATTCTTTACCACTCCACTGGAATTAAGGTCCTGTGGCCATTTCCGGAGAAAATGAATGCCATTTGATGCTAACACCAAAATGGCATCACCTCCATTTGTGTATAACAGCCTTGATAAAATGAGAAGCTACCAAAACATTTTAATGCCGAAATCTGAAACTTAAATATTAGATATTCCCATGCTTATATGCTCCCAGTGCATAGGCAGAGAAAAACTATAAATCAGTCTCAGAATTGAGAGACCTCATATTGAATTATTTATTTTTCTTTTTCCGAAAGATAGAGTACCTTCAGACAGAATTGCAATTATGAAACTTAAATATAGTATAGCCGAGCGGCTATACTATTTATTTTATTTATAACAAACAAATAAAATTTTTTATATTTTTTTAAAATGGAACCGCCTAGCCCGCCTAGGCGGCTGATTTTTCGAAAACTTGAATGGCATTCCTTTTTTTAAGATTTATTTTTTCCTGGCCGGTCTATTGCAATTATGAAACTTAAATATAGTATAGCCGGGCGGCTATACTATTTATTTATTAAAGAACCGCCTAGCCCGCCTAGGCGGCCGATTTTTCAAAAACTTGAATGGAGTTTTTTTTTTCAGATTTCTTTTTTCCTGGAGGGTCTAGCATCTCTGCAAGTACATTTTGTCAATTCTCAGTACCATAAGATGGGCAAAAAGAGTAAATCAAAAACTCCCGCAGAGATGCAAGATAATATAGCTGTTGGTATCGGTGGCAGCTTCTTAGGTCCTCTTCAAACAGGTTTAGAAGATTCTTTCCATGCATATATTTTGCAGTATTGTTTACTATGTAGTGTGAGTTTTCTTGTGAAAATGATTAAGCTTTCTTTGGAATAAACTTCGGGTAGTGTTCACTGGTTTGATTACATTTTGCAGATCCAGAGGCTATCGAAACAGCAAGGGGAAGGCAACTGCATTTGTAAGTACTTACGTATCAATTTTAAGTGCTTATGCTTTCAAATTTTCTTTATGTTTATTTTTGAAAGCAATCCGTATTCTGTGTGTTGGTTGGAGTTGTGGTGTTTAACATAGCCCATATTCAGGGACTATCTTAGATGCATTCTGTGTGTAAATATTTGGTTCTAGTCTTGGTAGTTGGGTTAAAGGAATGGAGTATATCCCTGTGCTTACTTATAAACTTATGAAAAGAAACAATTTTGCCAAACCTGATAAATTCCCTTTGCTCATCGGATGGGGAGAAGTGTACAAGCAAAAGCTGGAAAGCAAGTACAGGGCTTCTATGGAAGAGTATGTTGATGTGCTGAAGAATATTGAAGAGGTAAGGTAGTTATTCTAGTTTACCTTGAATCTATGCATACACTTCTCTCTCTTTTTCATTCAAGTAATTTGCTTCTTGTAGGTTACGTGGCAGCCATATGCAAGGCTTACTGAGTCCTTCTTGCCGGATTGGTTAAAACCTCAGTTGATCATGCGTTTAAGTAGAACAGTCATGATCTGTTTTAACTACGTGGCGTACCATCGCCCGGACAAGTGCATAAAGAAGTTTGGCTTCCACAAAATTGATTTGAGTGCTTGCGGCCAGGTGAAGCGATACCAAACAAAAGCTATGAGTGGGCCAGAGCAAGTAGATTATTCTACGAAACAATACGTACTGGATTGGGAGTGTAGACATATATATTTGATACAATGCATTGATGTTCTGCCCAACTCTCCAACACCTGATTTGGATGAACCCAATCCCAACAGTTTTGCCATGCGCAGCTCTACAACACCTGGTATATATGTATTGCAAAATTGGTGATGGCTTATAGAAAGATTACTAATATCCATGCTCTATAATATCACCGTTTTTGGTATATGTTACTTAATTTTCTAAATGGCTTTGCAAATGTTTGATTTTTGGTTTTTTTGTCTTAAAAAGAGGATGCACCTGCACCTGGACAGACTGCCACTCCTGCTTCTTCTGCCTTCATGGCCGCTCCCTTTGGACACACACCCACTCCCTCTCTAATTGAAAAAGATGGAGGGTCAGAGGCTCAAGTTAACATAGAGGATGAAGAGGTCTGAACTTCAGAGGCTCAAGTCCGAACTTCACATGCTCAAGGTAACAATATTTAATGGTTATCCATTTATTACATAGTTACCTAATCAATTTTTACCAATGCTAAATATATTGAATGGCAGGAGTGGAGTCTCAGATTAAATATCGTTAATTGTGTTTAATATCTTTGCTTAGTTTTCTTTTTCACTGTTACTACCATGTAGTTCTGACCCTAAACCTTAAACTCCACAGGCTTTAGGTAACAATATTATAATGGTCATCTCATTCATCGATTCACAATGCCTTGTATTATATACTACATTTTCCTTTAATGAAGTTAGTAAATTTGATAAATTTCACTCAAATTGGATATTAAGTTCTTCCAATTCTTAACAGCTTGTATTACCCAAATTACTCAAGCTGTGCAGACCCCGCCTTCACAGCTTGTATTTTCAGTCATAGACCAGGAGGCAGAGCCCTCCACCTTGCCTAGGCCAGTTCTGCAGCATAGTTCTACTGCTGACCAGTCAACATCTCATCAGGCATCTCCATCATGCAATCCTCTGCTTCCGGCATCTCAAGATCAACAATCTGCTGCAGCACCAGCAGACGTTGCAGAAGCGGCAAAACCTCCAGTCATCAATTCATCGCCTTTCATAGCTACCAACTCAAAATCTGAAGACAACCCATCATCACAGTCGCCTCAACTTGAAACCCCAATTGGTTGGCCTCCCAATGGCAAGCTTACCTTCTGATGTAGTACAGCCCGTAGGTATTAAATTAATCACTTAACAATCGAATAGAGAAGAATATAAGAGATCGAGGAGAAGAATATAAGGGATGTGGTTAGAATGTGTTTGTGATTGTGTCGGGGCTGGAACCTGTTTTAGATTGATGAATGATTGTGTCGGGGTTAAATATCGGCTTTACAGGCTATAACTTACCAGTAAGTTATAGGCTTTTCACTCCATCACATACATGACGGTTAAATATTGACTTTTCACGCTATAACTTACCGGTAAGTTATAGGCTTTTCACTCGTGTCAACAAGAATGGTTTCATGGACTTTTCTCACGGACCTGGAGACAGGCTGCCCTTTCACCGGCTCCATGTGTGGGATTGTGTTTATCTAAATCTAAGGGTCATGTTCTTTTGTAATGTTTGTTTTTATTTTTTTATTGTTGTTTATTGGTAAAAGAAAGAAACTGAGAATGGAACCCAAATAAAAAAGTGATTTGTCCACAAAAAGTATCGTAGAATTAGAACTAACATGTTTACCAAAGCTATCACCTTAACTTTGGCTTCTAGAAGTTGCAAATTTATTATCAGTGTCCATTAAAACTGGTTGGGCATGATTCAAATAAGTTACCACACTAGCTATCATTCTAGCCGAGTAGGTCGAGATAGGTTGCAATATTTCATTTTTCAAATATTCTTTCGAATGGCGTCAAGAAAATATAAATATATAATTAGTTCGCCATAGTTTAAAGTTAAAGTGTTTAAATTTATGATTATCGATTATTGTATTCTTTGGAGCGGCTATCTACCAAACTACGATCGAATTTGTCTTTAGACATTGCAATTTCGGCAAGCCTTGATTGTTAAAGTTAGTATGTCCTACATTCTTCTTGTTTATATTAATCTTGTACACATTTCATGTTGTAATTTTTGCTGTCATAATAACTGTGAGAATTATTGTTATTATTAAAATTCATATTTTTCATTGTCCGCGAATTGAACACACTATCCTTGTCTATTTATTTTGTTACTGTTTGGTAACTAAATGCTTTCTTATTTGAGTGAATGTTTGCAAGGATGATCATTCAATGAACACCAAAAAATGATATGTTCAAATCATGGAAAACATTATGAAGTCCAATCAAATGATTGGTTAGCACTTCAACACTAAAAAACCAATAAGCCACTATGTTGTTGGCTTGTTTTAGAGATTTTGATACTCATATGTAGACTCTTGCTCTCCACTTGTTACTGCAGGAAGATATTCATTTTACACTGCCTACAGCTTATGCCAAACCCTTTTCATAGGTTTTGTTCTAAAGCTACATTTACCGTCCATGAATTGTTTGCAAAATTTAGGCCAGTGATAGGATTTTTAGTACATGTGCAAATTAAAATCGTAGAAAATACTTGCAAGAATACAAGGATATTGTAGTATAGATGCTCATGCAAGGTCGTTCTCCTCAAGGACTATTTAGCAATCTATGTAAAAAAACAATTTTCAATTAACTACCTAAAATTAAAAGTTGAGAAAGATGATTATGAAATTGTTTGATACTAAAAATAAATTTTAAACAAAAATGATTATGATTGAAGGAAAGAGTTTTAAATATCAATTTATAAAAGCACTAGGGTTTCACCATCACCTACCAATCCTATGAATTTTTACCAATTACTTATGATTTGCACATGCCACTTTGAAAGTTAGGTTTTCCTAATTTAAATTCTACTTGGAACCTCCAACATAGAACGTATATCCAACGTGCAACTTGTCCGAAAGTTCGGATCAAATCTGAACATGAAAGTTTGTGAAAACCCTTTGAAAAACCATGCAACCCTTAAGACGTGGTGTTCATCTTAAGTGAAATTACAATTATTAATCACAAGAAGCCAGCGTCAATTTCAGGGAACCTTCCGACCAAAATTGCATCTAATTACTTTTCTAATGATCGTAATGGTGATCAGGCATTAAAACAATTAGATAGTTTAAAACAGTGATTAACAATTCAAAGTGTGCACGCACTCAATCATAAACAATTAAATAAAAATCACATATTCATGCTAAGGTTCAAGGCTTCACCCTAGCAAAAGAAAATTAGTTACGCATATTCATAATTGAAACCCAAGAAAATATCATTAAGAAGGAAAAGAATGAAAACACCTTAAAGTCGCAAAAACCCAAAACCCTAGCAACTACTTATGACTATGCCTGGAGGGTAGACTGTGCATGCTGAAGTGTGGAAATTTTAAACTGTCTTTTTGACAGGTTGAAAAATTTGGTTAAGTTCGTTTTTCAAGGAGACTCTGCCGAAATTTCGGTAGAAGTCTCGGCCCTCTTTTCCTTTGTTTAGGGGAAGAGGACATTTGAAATCAGTAAGTGGGCCCGGTATCGGTTGGATGTCGAAAATATCACAGGATCCGTCACGGATTCCGAGGAATTCGGGGCGAGTCCTGTCATTTTATTTGTATTGTTATAGCTTGATTTTTCAAGCTTTATCTTTTAATTATTATTTTAAGTTTGAAATCCTAGTTGGGATGCATACCCCAGAGTTTCTTCGATACTGCGTGCTCGTTAGTGGAGGGCACCAGATTGTCTTAATTTTGATGTTTGGTAAAGTATTGGCTTTTCACTCGATAACTTACCGGTAAGTTGTAGTCTTTTCACTGCATCATTTACATGTCGATTAAATATCGGCTTTTCACGCAATAACTTACCGGTAAGTTATAGGCTTTTCGCTCAATCATTTACCTGACGATTAAATATTGGCTTTTCACGCCATAACTTACCGGTAAGTTATAGGCTTTTCACTCCATCACTTACATGATGGTTAAATATTGGCTTTTCACGCTATAACTTACCGGTAAGTTATTGGCTTTTTGCTCTATCACTTACATATTGAGCGTAAAATTATCACACATGCATGCGCACTGATTTGATTGAAGTTGCCATTGTTTTTCGATCAATTTTAACATGCAAATACTAGTCATAACTCTAGGGGTTATTTTTTGTTATTTCAATCCCTAGTATGGACATGAATATATTAAATTAACAAAGACATAACTATTTTCGGTAGAAAGGTTAAAGAGCGTGCTGTTGAAATTGCCAAGGCCATAGATGACGAAGATGGGTTGATAGGAGCATTGAATGCCTTTCATAGGCACTTTCCTCACAGTAAATCTGAGGATAAACCCGAGTCATTGCCTGCTAGAAGTGGCTTATTTTCCATCAGTAGGTGTTTTGGCTATTCCCATTTCAGTACACATCCCACGGCCTCTCCTCCACATTTGTAAGTTGGAGCAGTTTCTCTCTGTAATGAGGCTGACTTGAGTACCCTATAACAGTAAGAAAAGAAAAGAATACCCACAGATTCTCTTGTAATGACTGCAAAAAGATTCAGTCACGAATTTAAAATTTTTTTGTCACGCATTTAACTTGTTCTGTATTCAGTCAGGTTCAAGATTATTTGGTTTTATTGGTGCTGGTGCCACACTTGGCCAGCTTTTTGGGCCATTGTTTACCATGTATGTTTGCTTATTCAGTCTCTTGGAATTTGATATTTGCTGTGTGTGTGTGTGTGTGTGTGTGTGGTGTTTGTTGTTCTTAGGATGAGCTTTTGTTATATAGTTGTTGTTTTGTCTAGTTTTTAAAGTAATTAACATGAGATATGCTGTGCAGAATGTTTGCTTATGCTTACTGAAAGTGTATACTGCCTAGCTTGTTGCATGTTTGCAGCTGTTTTTAAGTTGATCACCTGTCAGCTTTCCTGCTGAAGGCAATTTATGGGTCCTATTAGTAAAGAAAGAAAGCTAGTCTCATGCCAGGGATATGTTTCTATTTCTAGGCATCTTAAGAAATATTAAATATAATTGAAGCAAATCAGGGAGCATTTTTACAGAAGTAGAAACTATAAAATAATGAAAGCAGAAGTCAAAAGAGTCAGGTCCTTGTGTCAAATGAAGAAGTTGCCAACTGAGTTGAAATCGAACATCAGTAATTATAAAGGAGTGCCCCTCTGGTGTGCTTTCAGTTTGCAGTGCTTCCATATTCCAGACAACAACCTACTGACATGAAAAAACGAAAGAAAATCATTCACATCATTCCTTTTCTCATTAATCAATCGAAGTCACTAATTTGTTATCAGATAACAAGTACCCAAACCCAATCCGTAAATCAATTACTTAGCTTACAACAAGACTTGAACCTGGGCTCTTCGGTTCGGTTTCAATTCGAAAGGAAAGTGAGGAGAAATCTAATAGGAAAGAATTATAAAGCATGTCATTCTTTACCACTCCACTGGAATTAAGATCCTGTGGCCATTTCCGGAGAAAATGAATGCCATTTGATGCTAACACCAAAATGGCATCACCTCCATTTGTGTATAACAGCCTTGATATAATGAGAAGCTACCAAAACATTTTAATGGCGAAATCTGAAACTTAAATATTAGATATTCCCATGCTTATATGCTCCCAGTGCATAGGCAGAGAAAAACTATAAATCAGTCTCAAAATTGAGAGACCTCATTGAATTATTTTTTTTCTTTTTCCGAAAGATAGAGTACCTCAGACAGAATTGCAATTATGAAACTAAATATATGCTATACTATTATTTTATTTATATTTTTTTTTAAATGGAACCGCCTAGCCCGCCTAGGCGGCTGATTTTTCGAAAACTTTAATGGCTTTTTTTTTAAGATTTCTTTTTTCCTGGCCGGTCTATTGCAATTATGAAACTTTAAATATAGTATAGCCGGTCGGCTATACTATTTATTTATTAAAGAACCGCCTAGCCCGCCTAGGCGGCCGATTTTTCAAAAACTTGAATGGAGTTTTTTTTTTCAGATTTCTTTTTTCCTGGAGGGTCTAGCATCTCGCAAATACATTTTGTCAATGCTCAGTACCATACGATGGGCAAAAACTCCCAGAGAGATGCAAGATAATCAACTCTGTTTTTAGATCCTCTTCAAACAGGTTTAGATGATTCTTTCCATTTTGTCAATTTATAACTCTATTTTGCAGTCTTGTTTGCTCTTTGGATTCGTCTTCCTTGGGATCACCAAGCGCATTTTTTATCACAGATTGGGCTTGGTCATTAGTGAAATCTGGAAAAGTTGAACAGGCTTTAGACTTTTCATTGCTGAAAGATGGTGATAATGTGAATTCAAATCCAAAGAGCATAATGGAGAGATTTTTGCTGGTTGGCATTTTGTGTGCTCATGTAATGGTGGCTTTGCGGCCTACCATTTTGGATGCACTGAAAATGTTGGAAGGAGATATTGAAGTGCCACCAATTCCAGATAGGCCAATGCCTCTTGGTCACCCTTCAGCTTATGGCAATGGCAACGGTAATACTTTCAGCATATCACCAGCTTTGAGCGGGCCAAAATTGCATAGTGGAGACATGCTCAGGTAATCAAGAAAACTTTTAATTTATAGTTTCTACGTCGCCTTGAAGAAAGCAAAGAGTGAAGATTAATGTTCATGGAAGACCCTCCGTGAATTGACTCAAGGTATGTAGTTGAGAATGCTGTAAATAGTACACATAAGAACTCATAGACCAATGAAAGGTAATATTACGACCTAAAAAATCCGAGGTCAGGAATTAAACTAGATAGTGTGGGATAGGTTTTGATTTTGTTTTATAAAGCTGTAACTTCTTGTGGTTTTGTTTTGTTTACCAAATATGATTTGACTTTACATCATATATAGCGCAAAGAAGATGTAGATTATTATGTAAGAAATTCAGTATTTATTTGAATTGAACCAGCTACTCCAGAATATAACAGATTGACTCAAGAATTTGGATTTGGACAATCATCTTGGTACCAATAAAAGATTCCTATTTTGTCTACTTCCAGAGTTCCAGTAATCAACTTTCTACTGGGAAGTTTTCTGTGGAAATGAATCTAATGAGAAATCCAACTTGATTCTAGCTGTACTTTCACTTGTTGAATGTAAAGATCTTGGGATTGTTGTTTTCAGCTTTTTTTTCTTGCTTTACCAAGCTGCAAGCATGATAGGTTGTTCATTATTATGTTGAATTAGAGAACTGTTTATCAGTCAATTGAAGTGGCATCATTGATATCACATACAACAGGTTCATCAAAGATGAAGAGTGAAGCACTTCATGGGGTTTGAGTACTTGGAAGAGTCCAACATTTCTAACCCTTTTAGTTCAACAACATAGGTTTAGTGGATTTGATTGATTATAGTAATGTAATACCTATAAGCTTTGTAACTGTTGGAAATAGCAAACCGAAAAAAGGGTTTGCCGTCGCTTACGAGTTTTTTTATTTATCAATTAAGTTTTTTCTCATGTATGTCATTTGTAACAGTTTTTGTATAATTGAGTTTCAAGAAATATATTCTTGCAGAAACTTTTTCTTCCATTCATCAGAGTTCTTCCTTTCAGAGACAAGTCTTTTTGCTCTCTTTGAGAAACCCTTTGAAAATTGCTTAGCAAAGCAACAAAGTGGTATCAAATCTTTGGTCCTGCTAGTAGCTCTGTCCATGTTTTTGTCATACCTCTAGTGCTGAAGAATGTAAAAAAATCCCATATCGGAACCTTGACATAATAAAGTACAATATATATTGAGTAACTCCACTACTAATAATAATACAGGGCATTTTGTCAGCAAGGTCAGCACCAGACCCGCATCACATGTGCTTCCAAGACGGAAGTGAAAACAAAAACTTGAAAGTGAAAACAATTTCAAATAGGTTTCAGTTTTTAGTTTTTGTTTTCACTTTTGTTACTCATCCAACCCATCCTCCCCTCTCAATCTCATTCCACTCTAATTCTCACTTCTATTCTCCCTCTTTTTCCTCTGCAAATACTCAAAAATGGAGATCCTCCCTCCTGTTGGTGATATGAGATATGAATCATTCTTGGACAAATCAAAGCAGGACATAGAGTCTTCAGGGTTGGTGCTGGGAAGGTCATTGTTCATCAGCTCTAAGCCACTCCTTGGTTTCCATAAATTAGGGTGAACCTTGGGAGTTGCCTGCATTCAATCAATATCATCAAAATCAAATGACCAACTGTCGCTTCGGTTTCAATTCGAAAGGAAAGTGAGGAGAAATCTAATAGGAAAGAATTATAAAGCATGTCATTCTTTACCACTCCACTGGAATTAAGATCCTGTGGCCATTTCCGGAGAAAATGAATGCCATTTGATGCTAACACCAAAATGGCATCACCTCCATTTGTGTAGAACAGCCTTGATATAATGAGATGCTACCAAAACATTTTAATGGCGAAATCTCAAACTTAAATATTAGATATTCCCATGCTTATATGCTCCCTCTGCATACGCAGAGAAAAACTATAAATATTGAATTATTTATTTTTCTTTTTCTGAAAGATAGAGTACCTTCAGACAGAATTGCAATTATGAAACTTAAAAATAGTATAGCCGCGCGGCTATACTATTTATTTATTAAAGAACCGCCTAGCCCGCCTAGGCGGCCGATTTTTCAAAAACTTGAATGGAGTTTTTTTTTCAGATTTCTTTTTTCCTGGAGGGTCTAGCATCTCTGCAAGTACATTTTGTCAATTCTCAGTACATCAAAAACTCCCACAGAGATGCAAGATAATATAGCTGTTGGTATCGGTGGCAGCTTCTTAGGTCCTCTTCAAACAGGTTTAGAAGATTCTTTCCATGCATATATTTTGCAGTCTTGTTTACTATGTAGTGTGAGTTTCCTTGTGAAAATGATTAAGCTTTCTTTGGAATAAACTTGGGGTAGTGTTCACTGGTTTGATTGCATTTTGCAGATCCAGAGGCTATCGAAACAGCAAGGGGAAGGCAACTGCATTTGTAAGTATTTACGTATCAATTTTTATGTGCTTATGCTTTCAAATTTTCTTTATGTTTATTTTTTAAAGCAATCCGTATTCTGCGTGTTGGTTGGAGTTGTGGTGTTTAACATAGCCCATATTCAGGGACTATGTTAGATGCATTCTGTGTGTAAATATTTGGTTCTAGTCTTGGTAGTTGGGTTAAAGGATTATATGCATATTTTTATCAAAGGATGGATGATTCTGGTCTAAGCTAAGGGTATTCTAATAATTTGTTTTCCCCTGTGTGCAGTCTTGAAAACGTTGATCCTATTGATGTTGCCAGAAATATTGCAGGATTAAAGCCAGAAACTACCCTCGGTAAGCATTAAGTTTACTTATGTGTATAATACCAATATTAAACGGGAAAATGCTAAATTCTTTATATGTGTAATAAGTAAAAAATCAAAAAAGGATAATAGAGACTCGGGTAATGGCCTAATAGTAATGGATAATGCTCTAAACTACTCTTATCTACAAAGGAAAATCTGGGATTTTTTTTTTAATTTTAAAAAAGTATAACCGATCGGCTATACTCTTTAATATATTATTTAACGAGTATAACCATCGGCTATACGTTTATATACATATAGTTATCTTTTCTTGATAGACATTAGGATTTCTTTGGTGAAACCATGTTGTTGTGGTTTTTGTATACGGGGCATGGATTGTGATGTAGATATGAGCTATGATATCTTTTTTTATTTACATTAATTTAAGGATCAACGTGATTATCTTATTTCAACTCCCATGCCAAATGGAAATCTTTGCTACAATGATCTGTTAGATGCAACTGTGTTGGTATTATTATCTCTTTACTGACATCTTGTGTTGTTTCATTAAGCTTAACTTCTTGTTATTATATATCCCTTGATGTTAACCCTTACGAAATTTGGTGTCAATGTTTGCACTTGACAGCTTTTCCAGAAGTGGTATCCAAATGAAGAATTCTTTTCCGAGACACCCTCACCTCAGAATTTGGAGGATGACGTTCTGATTAATCTAGAGGACTAATAGTATTAGGTCATTACCCGAGTCTCTATTGTCGCCCTTTGATATTCAATAATACATCCGTATTCTGTACACGTCTTAAAGACTTGGTAAAGTTCACTTTTTTTAAAAGGCAAACATGCAATATGCGTATTATACATGTACGTACATATTTTTCATGTTTAATACATGTATTTTTTATAAAATTTTCAATAATACACACAGCTTCACGTATTATACATATAATTCTCACATATTATTGAATAAACATAATAAATATTAAATAATTTACATTAATTATATCTATTTTTTAATTAAATAATATAGCTACGCATCTATACCTTCTAGATATGTATTTAAAGAGTACCGCCGTGCGGCCATACTATGGTTTTTGACATGTGGATGCCTAGCCAATAGGCAGGTCCTCTTTTTTCATATTTTTTTTACTTTATTAATAGTATTGCCACGCGGCTATATATGGTTTTATAATTTTTTAAAAATAAATAAATAAAAATAGTATAGCCTGTTGGCGATACTCTTTTTTAAAAAAAAAATTTATATAATTTATACTTCGGTTTTTTCCTTTATTTTTTTATTTTATTTTATTATAAACTTTATAAATCATATCAAATCCTAATTAATAAATATTTTCTTGATTTAAACCTAATCATGAGACATTTATTATGATTGATGACAAAACTGAGCACAAACAAAACAAAATCTATATACTCTGAACCATTTAAACTAAGATTCATGCAAACCTACCATCATTCAAAACTAAAACATAGTATGGAGCTCTAAGAAGTCGTGGGAGCCGTGCTATATTTTGTAATCACCACCATTACAAAAGCGGCACCAAAACAAGACAATCATTCTTGTGCAGGAAAGCTTTACATTGCTCCTAATCAAACATACTACCCTCAAAGGAAATACTTGTGCAATCTTTGTTGAACAAGCATAAACAGATAATTATATCTTAACCTTAACCATTTGTGTTTTACAGGGCAGCACAAAACTGCAAGATTCATGTGCTAACTCCTAATCTACATTTCTCAATTCACAGCCAAACTTAAGCACATGATTTGTTTTGTACAAGCTAAGTAACAATTTATAGCTTGTGTATATATTTCCGACTAAAATAAGTACAGGCCCCGCCCATTCTCTTTATACCTTTGTTAATTTCATTACAGAAACCCATCATCAGAACTTACATTGCATACATTCAAAATCAACGTAAAGAGACATCGTTGCTACTTACTTTGGATGGTGGCTATGGCGGCTGCTGGTAGAGATGGCTCGTGGCGATGACGATGGCTGCTGTCCTAGGGCTAGGAACCTAAAACGATGAAATAGAGATGGAAAGCAAGGAGCGGTCATGAGATAGAGTTATTGACAAATTTTTTAAACAGAGTTTGGAGCAGATTTCTAGTTTATTGATGATACAGAGTCCCACATTGGTCAAACAAGTGACCATACCAAGGTTTATAAGCTTACATAACACTTCACATTGCCGAGCCTAGTGGTTGTTTTTGCTATCCAAAAATAAGCAATGCTGTTTTGCCTGATAGTGGTTGTTTTATTCAAGACGTGAAAAAATAGCTCGTAAGACATTTTTCGCACTTCCATCACAAAACATGCTTGCCTGGGAAAATAGAGGTTCATCTGTATATCTCTGTTCTTAACTTCCTGATAAAATAGGGTTTTGGTCAATATGTCCTCCACTTGAGTAAATTGCCAAAGTGTTGATGTTAATCAAGATTCAAGACAGTAGTGCATATTCCATAGGTGGGAGAACCTTGGTTGGTTCAATGTCTATGTCAAGATTGGATTGCTCCTCTGGGTATGAATATATCGAAATCACTTTCTTCTTTTTTAAAGTATTAGAAACTCTTTCTGATGATTGAAAAAGAAATTGCATTTATCAAAATTTGTATAATCTAATAACAATTTCTTCAACTTGGGCTCGAGTAATCGATGTTATGGACAGTGAGGTATGTCCACATTGCACCAACAATAAAAATATAAATATGGATTTCTCTGTAGGCTTAGCTTTTGAGGTTCCTTTTGTGAACACCTCACATCGAAAATCCATCCTATAAAGGTCTTCATAAACAAAGTACTATGATGATTTGGTAAGTGTAGTTAATATTGGAGAGTTGGGCTAATGGGCTTGGCTATAGGCTCGGTTTTGGATTTGGCGCTGATTAATAATAATAATTATATTAATCAAAGACTTGGGCCTTGAGGCTCTTGGGCTTTGGAGAAATTTAATTAAGACACTCAAACGAAAATAAGTATATATATATATATATATATATTTTGACATATCCTTTCAATTTAAATTCGAAAGAAAATAGGTTTAAAACTGCTGTGGTTTGAAAATTGAACAAAATTATTTAAAATAATTAATTAATATTTATTGTGTAATTTATGAAATAAGTAGCATATTTAAATATTCACAAAAGAAATAATAATTAAAACATAATTACTAATTAAAGTAATTGAAAAAGGATAATACATTACTTAATTACATGTATTAAATTAAAGAGGTTGGCCAAAAAAAAACAAATTTTATATTTTAAAATTTTAAAAAATTTAAAAATAAATAAACATCAACACCTCTCTCGACGAAATTTCATCGACACAGGTGTATGCCGACAAAGATTTGCTGGATTAGACTTCTCCCTAAGAAAACTACCTCTGCCAACGAAAGTTCGTCCGGAGAAGTCTAATCCGGCCAACCTTTGCCGACAAAGATCTGTGCTGACTCAGTTTTGTCGGGAGAGGTCATTTAAATAAACAAAAAAATGTAAACTTAGGATGTTTAGGTTAATTAATTTTTAAAAATTTTTTTTTAGCAATTAAATAATATATTTGCCTGATTTAGTTAGTTAAATTAGTAATTATATTTTAATTATTATTTATTTAGTGAATAATTAGTATTACATCTTTTAATAAACTTCATGAATTATGTTATTTAATAAATAGTAATTCAAATTTTCTTTTTCCTTTTAAATTCTCTAAGTAAAAAATAACTACTAATCAAAATGATTAAAAAAGAGGGATACATATTATGCTACTTAAAGGGTATAGCCGCGCGGCTAAACTGCGAAGATATTCTATTTAGAGTATCGCCGCACGGCGCATTGGAGAATATCTGGCAGCTCTGTTGATTGGAGGGTTAACTCATCTGATTAGTACTTTTTGGGCTTGTTTTGTGCTTTTCTTTTGCATTATATGTTGTTTTCGCTATCCAAAAATAAGCAATGATGTTTTGCCTGATAGTGGTTGTTTAATTCAAGACGTGAAAAAATAGCTCGTAAGACATTTTTCGCACTTACATCACAAAACATGCTTGCCTGGGAAAATAGAGGTTCATCTGTATTGTTTACCTGTGCATGCATTTTAATTTCTCCAATCTAATTGTCCTCTGTATATCTCTGTTCTTAAGTTCCTGATCAAATAGGGTTTTGGTCAATATGTCCTCCACTTGAGTAAATGGCCAAAGTGTTGATGTTAATCAAGCTTCAAGACAGTAGTGCATATTCCATAGGGTGGGAGAACCTTGGTTGGTTCAATGTCTATGTCAGGTTTGGATTGCTCCTCTGGGTATGAATATAACGAAATCACTTTCTTTCTTTTTTTTAAGTATTACAAACTCTTTCTGATGATTGAAAAAGAAATTGTATTTATCAAAATTTGTATAATCTAATAACAATTTCTTCAACTTGGGCTCGAGTAATCGATGTTATGGACAGTGAGGTATGTATCCTGTGACACGAATTTAAAATTTTTTTGTCACGCATTTGACTTGTTCTGTATTCAGTCAGGTTCAAGATTATTTGGTTTTATTGGTGCTGGTGCCACAGTTGGACAGCTTTTTGGGTCATTGTTTGCGATGTATGTTTGCTTATTCAGTCTTTTGGAATTTGATATTCGCTCTGTGTGTGTGTGTGGTGTTTGTTGTTCTTAGGATGAGCTTTTGTTATATGGTTGTTGTTTTCTGCAGCAATGTCTTGTTTCTTCCCTCCTCCCTTATCTGCAGCCCTTTGGTTTCTTTCTGCTTCTGCCTTTTTTTTGGCCTCTGTACGTTCATGACTTTTATAGGCAAAAGATGAATAGCAGAGTGCCTGCTCATTTAACCAGCCAGTGTTTGAAAACGAAAGAAGCACAACTTTTATTCCCACAGATAGTCTTAGCTATAGGTTACATAAATTAATGCATGAGCAGCAGCTGCATGCAATATTATTGAAACCCAAATCACAACAGAAGGGAAACTTAAGAAAATGCCACTTTCGCAGGGAACGCGATTGCATTTAGCGTATGCAACAAGCCTTTTAAACCCATAAATGACCTTGATGGGACGAGTGAAGTCTCGTGAGGGTTTCCAGCGACGCTACCCACAAACATCAAATTAACTTAACAGGATGATCATCCTGGAAGGCGTTCGACAATGAAGGCATTGTTTTCGTCGGGGGTTGCCTGTACTGCAGCGAGGGCATTGTCAAAGTCGGTTCCAGGTTTTGGCTCTACAAAGTTTTCCATTTTCACATGGCGGAACCGGTATATGCCGTCGACGTACGGTAGTGGGTGTTGCACAACCTCAGGCTTGAAGAGTGTACATGACCACAGGTTTTTATTTGGCTGTTTCTCGTTAGCCCCGGCCACAATCCACGAACTGTCTTGGCTTGGCGTGCTCCAGTATTTGTCGATGTAGGTGGATTTTATATGCACCAGATTGGGGAGGTTTACGTCCTTCTCCACTTTGAACCTTGCGTATTTGCTATGAACATCCTCTCCGGAGCATTGGAGAATATCTGGCAGCTCTGAGGTGGATTGGTCTTTGTAGACCAAGTATTTGTGGTCGCTGACTGATTTAAGAGCAACAAACTTTGGTAATTCTGCCATATATATTTTTTTTCTTATGTATACAAATGTAAACTCACTTCTCTCTTCCTCTCTCTCGTTGCTTACTGCTTTTACTAGCTCCAACCTGCTGTGCTATTTATAATCAAGCGTTCCAAACCATGCATGCAGCTTTCGCTTTTTTTTCTTGCTGTACTGGCCCGCGATAGAAGCCCTAAATAATAATAAAATCGAGCCAGGTGGCAGTTTTGAAAGGTCAAGTAATAATGTTCTTGAATAAAATAAAATAAAGTTAAGACTAGTATTTTCTTCTCTGTTGTTATGTGAACTTGATTATGTAATTTCTACGACTTGTACTTATGGACCATAGTCATTTATCAATTATAATTATGTCATTAGTTTGGATTGAGCAACAAAGTTGTTGAGATATTTACGTACTTTTTAATTATTGTTCATTTCACACAAACACAGCTTCATTTTTTGGGGAGAAGTTCCTTCTCCCTCAACTGCGCAGGGAGTGGCTGCGTAGCTTCCTTTTAATTATTCACTAGCCTCTCCACACACGTTTCAGCGCCTGCGAGAGGCTTTTTTTTTAAAAAAATTTTAATTTATTTTAGAATTAAAAAGATAATGGATAGTTGTGTTCCATAAAAATAGGATTGGTTATCTAATTTTTCTTTTAATTTTAATTTTTTTTACATATGAAAAAGTATGAATTTACCATATTATCATCATTTAATTAATAATTTCAATTCTTAATGTTTACATTAACCAAGGGCATTTTCTAGTATTTTAAATGTTTTACCAACCTGCATTAGCCTGTAGATTGAATTGATGCACCTGCATGGTAGCCAAGTTAGTAGCTAGCAAAACAAAAACAACCAAAATGAATGAAGAGACTCGCATATCTCTTATCATTTATTGTCTCTTCTTCTCAATGCACTTCTTTAATATATATATATATATATATATATATAGCTTCTATTTATTTGAGGGACACCCTTTGTAGGGCTCACTCATGATTGTAATTCACTAATCCAAACCGTCTATTTTGTAGATACTCATTTAAAGATCATTTCTACAAAAAAATCACTTAAATTTGATATCATTTGACCACTCAATTGAGTTATTGAAATTTTAGTACTTTCTTGAAGCATCGTGTTCATTGATTTTGTAGGATACAATTGAATGTCGAAACGATTTCCGATTTGTCTAATTTTTTTGTAAAGATGATCTATGAATGAAGACGTAAAAAATAGATGGTTTGGATCATTGGAAAAAAATTGTAGAGTACCTTAAAGGGCGTCCCTCAAATAAAATTATTTTGAGAGATCCCTCAATAGAAGGGATATATATATATATACAGAGAGCTTCCATTGAGGGATCCCTCAAATAAGCTTATTTGAGGGACACCCCTTGTATGGCCCACTCCGGATTGTATTTCACTAATCCAAACCGTCTATTTTGTAGATACACATTCAAAGATCATTTCTACAAAAAATCACTTGAATCTGATATCATTTGACCATTCAATTGATTTATTGAAATTTTAGTATTTTCTTGAAGCACCGTGTTCATTGATTTTGTAGGATATAATTGGATGTCGAAATGGTTTCCGATTTGTCTAATTTTTTGTATGGATGATCTATGAATGAAGACCTAAAAAATAGATGGTTTGGATCATTGAAAAAAAAATTGTATGGTACCTTAAAGGGCGTCCCTCAAATAAAATTATTTGAGGGATCCCCCAATAGAAGGGGACTGATTATATATATATATATATATATATATATATATACTGGGTTTTGAACTGTGAAATGAAAGTCAACCGTCTCCATCTCCAGCCATTTTATCCAAAACTAATTTATTCAATTATTGATGACATTTTTGCCTGCCCAGGGTGGCTGTCTTATCTTGTGTTTAATGTTTAATAAAATAAAGTATGTGTGTCGACTATTTAAGTATATCGAGAGTATATACATGTTAATGTGTAGGAAGAATAAAATAAGATTAGAGAAATGTTAGTAGATTCATGATCATATAATCGGAATTCCAAACATTATAACATGTGTATACGATGTATAACGTGGTCATATTATTGTAGTATTTTATAATTTCTCCAATTTTACATATATGCTAGCTGAATGCTAAAATTTCTTTTATTTCTTTTGCGCAGCGAATTTCAGTTTCACATAAAAGTCGATACGACCAACCACCACCAGTGATATAAAACATAAATGTTTAATCAAGCGATTATTTATTTCATTTCAATTGGAAATCCAAAAACATATTTTATGAATCGAGCCGCCTTGCAATCCACGCGTCGTATTTAGTTCTAAAACAAATATACTTGTACATCTTTTACGTCATGATGAGTTCATTATTCAGGTGTCTTACTTGTCATCTCTTCGTCACATGTGACCTGGTCAAGCTTTACACACTCACACCTTCAAACCTAAGGTCGATATGCTCTTTGGACAATCGGGCACATCTGTGTGAGTGTGACAAGAAAGTCAACAAGGAAAAGCCTTCATCTGCCCTTCATCTGCCCAAGAGAATCCTATTCACAACATCAACTTCCATTGAGGGATCTATTGCTTTCACCCCAGGATATTCCAGAAGGGAAAGACCCGATCATCACTGATTAGGTTGGATTTCCTTGAGCATCATCACTGATCTGATGGCATCAGAAAAGTCTTTGAATTACCCAATGTGATTGATTCATTGGAACATATCCTTAATGCAAAACAAAACCATGTGATTGATTGAAACACGATTAATTAATTTAGTAATTTTGAGAGACCCATAGGAATTTGCATTCACTCATTCTAGAAAGTAGAAAATAGATAGACATCTCCATAAGTCCTTAATACTTCATTAATAAATTTCTACGTTGTACTTGTGGAGGCCCATTGGCAATTATGAATTAGGATTGAAAAACAAAGGTTTCAAAAAAGAGAGGGGGTGGGAGTACCAATTGTTCCAGCTAATCTTTACCAAAAACAAAAGGATTTTTATCACAAAACATCCCTGACGTTTGCGAAACTATCAGATTGCATCCTTAAAGTTTTTTTATATCATCATTCATGGTCCCTAACATTAATATAGGTGCTCTTAAATAGTCATTCTATCAAAAAAAATGTTAAATTCAGAGATATAATCGTCAAATCAATCCAAAATTATAATATATATTGTATTATTTCCATCCCTTCTCTCTTTCTTTCTTCTTCTTCTTTCTCTCTTTCTTTTCTTCTTCTTCTTGAAGTCCTCAATTATAAGCAAAAATGGCCATGTTAGATGCATTCTCCCTGTAAATATTTGGTTCTAGTCTTGGTAGCTGGGTTAAAGGATTATATGCATATTTTTATCAAAGGATGGATGATTCCGGTCTAAGGGTATTCTAATAATTTATTTATTAAATCAGTAAAATATTTAAATATTCACTAAAGAAACAATAATTAAAATGTAATAACTAATTAAAGTAATTAAAAAAGACTAACATTTTATTTAATTACATAAATTAAATTAAAGAAGGTTGCCATAAAACAAAAGTAAAGAAACTAATCCTATTTGAAGCGTGTTTAGAATATTCTTTTTAAATAGTATAGCCGTGCGGCTATACTCTTTTAATATATCACCAACAATAAAATATGGATTTATAGTGTCATATTTCCTTAAATATATTCAAATCTTTGAGTAATTTATGAAATCATTAAAATATTTAAATATTAACTAAATAATCTGGCAATATCAACTAAAGAAAGTAATGCCATATATAAATTTTGGTACAATCACAAAACTAACCATGCTTTGAATCAAATGGCACGGGGATATCAACTCAGCAAGTCCAATTTGGGCTTGAATTCATGGGGATATAATAGGAATTCATTAAAAGGATTTCATTAATAAGATTAAAATGAAATGTTTTCAAGTCACAAAACACACCGTTTCATTAAGAGGATTTCATTCCCCAAATTCAAAACGGCGTCGTTTCATTTTGGTATTATCAGAAAGAAAACCGAGGCGCAGTGGTCATCTTCTTCACAAGAACTGCGCCTCAGGCAGCCTCAGTTGCAGCTGCAAGAGATTTTCCGGCGAGGGGAGGTGCAGCTGCACCTCCTTCCGCCTTAATAGGTCCACCAGTAACAGCTTTGGTTTGCAGCAATGGGAACCAAGGGCAGCTTGTGTTTTGCGAACAGCATGGCGCCGCTGTAAAAGAGAGAAGCTTCAAAAGTTTCCCAGGTTGGCTAAAGAGGGTAGTCTTTCTGCCACTGAGCACCTTGTTGTCTCAGAAACACAGCATAAGTAGGTATGGCTAATAAACTGTTAAAACATTGATGTAATGCAGGCAGTGTTCGAAAAATCGGCCTAGGCGGAAGGACACTGCTGACCAACAATGTTGAAGCTACGGCTTCAACATTGTTATCAAGCCATTTTGTTTCAGAGTGCCTGCTCATTTAACCAGCCAGTGTTTGAAAAATCGGCCTAGGCGGCTACCCAGAGGGTTTTTATGATGGCTCTTTTATTTCTCCTGTTTTGATGATTTTAGATTCACATGTTAAGCTATGGCTTCAACATTGTTATCAAGGCATTTTGTTTCAGAGTGCCTGCTCATTTAACCAGCCAGTGTTTGAAAAATTGGCCTAGGCGGCGCTTAGGCGGCCGCCCAAAGGGTTTTCATGGTGGCTCTTTTATTTCTCATGTTTTGATGATTTTAGATTCACATGATAAGCTACGGCTTCAACATTGTTATCAAGGCATTTTGTTTCAGACTGCCTGCTCATTTAACCAGTCAGTGTTCCAAAAATCGGCCTAGAAGGCACCAAGACGCTGGGCGCCCGCCTAGGCGGCCTGGGCGTGTCTGGGCGAGTCTGACTCAGAAAAATGAGATGATGATGATGCTATGTGTGAGAGAGAGAGAGAGAGAGAGAGAGAGAGAGAGATGAGGATTGAAGAAGAAAATAGGTCGCGGGTTATCTCTGAGTGAGAGAGAGGAGACATCTCGGGTTAGACTTCGGGTTTGAGAAGGAAAATTTGGACATCTTGCAGCCAGCCTATACCTCGAAGAAGGAACACCTTCCAGTTGCAGCCAAAACGAAAGACAGACAAAAGAGCCCTCCTCCCGTATGCATGGCTCGTGGACCTTCCTGTTCCCGTTCCCATTCCCGTTCCGGAAGTGAGTAAGCTTGCTTGGGATCATGCACATCACTCGGAATAGCAATGAGTTAATAAGAGTAATCTGGTCTGGGCAAGAGGAATCATCTCTTTCTGCATCAACCATTATCTCATTTGCATCAACTGCATCACTGCAGAATGTGATTGGCTAAATTGTTCATAAGTAAATAAATCAATCAAGCTACCTAATATTTTGAATGAAATTTGTTCTTTATTTCTTTCTTGGCAGGGAACTCGTCAGGGGGAAAGATTCTGACACCAGTGTAACATACCGCTTGGTACATAAGTATTGTGGTCTTGAGGTGGATGTTGATAAGTTAGAGAATGCCTTCACGGGCATTAGTCCAGGTAAGGATTGAAGAAGGTGATGATAAGTTATTACTAGTTTCAGTTTTTTTCTTCAACATGATCTCAAAAGCCTAGATTTTTTTTTTTCTTTTCAGATTAATTTTTTCAAGGCAATCTCAACTACCCAAATTTTTTCAAGGCCTTCACGGGCATGGCGGCCTGTTGATTGGGGGGTTAACTCATCTGATTAGTGCTTTTTGGGCTTGTTTTGTGCTTTTCTTTTGCATTATATGTTGTTTTCGCTATCCAAAACTAAGCAATGTTGTTTTGCCTAATAGTGGTTGTTTAATTCAAGATGTGAAAAAATAGCTCACAAGACATTTTTCGCACTTCCATCACAAAACATGCTTGCCTGGGAAAATAGAGGTTCATCTGTATTGTTTACCTGTGCATGCATTTTAATTTCTCCACTCTAATTGTCCTCTGTATATCTCTGTTCTTAAGTTCCTGATCAAATAGGGTTTTGGTCAATATGTCCTCCACTTGAGTAAATGACCAAAGTGTTGATGTTAATCAAGATTCAAGACAGTAGTGCATATTCAATAGAGTGGGAGAACCTTTGGTTGGTTCAATGTCTATGTCAGGATTGGATTGCTTCTCTGGGTATGAATATAACGAAATCACTTTCTTTCTTTTTTTTAAGTATTAGAAACTCTTTCTGATGATTGAAAAAAAAATTGTATTTATCAAAATTTGTATAATCTAATAACAATTTCTTCAACTTGGGCTCGAGTAATCGATGTTATGGACAGTGAGGTATGTATGCTGTCACACAAATTTAAAAAAATTTTGTCACGCATTTAACTTGTTCTGTATTCAGTCAGGTTCAAGATTATTTGGTTTTATTGGTGCTGGTGCCACACTTGGACAGCTTTTTAGGTCATTGTTTACCATGTATGTTTGCTTATTCAGTCTCTTGGAATTTGATATTTGCTGTGTGTGTGTGTGTGGTGTTTGTTGTTCTAGGATGAGCTTTTGTTATATAGTTGTTGTTTTGTCTAGTTTTTAAAGTAATTAACGTGAGATATGCTGTGCAGAATGTTTGCTTATGCTTACTGAAAGTGTATACTGCCTAGCTTGTTGCATGTTTGCAGCTGTTTTGAAGTTGATCGCCTTTCAGCTTTCCTGCTGAAGGCAATTTATGGGATATGTTTCTATTTCTAGACATCCTAAGAAATATTAAATATAATTGAAGCAAATCAGGGAGCATTTTTACAGAAGTAGAAGCTATAAAATAATGAAAGCAGAAGTCAAAAGAGTCAGGTCCTTGTGTCAAATGAAGAAGTTGCCAACTGAGTTGAATTTGGTCTAAATCGAACATCAGTAAGTATCAAGGAGTGCCCCTCTGGTGTGCTTTCAGTTTGCAGTGTTTCCATATTCCAGACAACAACCTACTGACATGAAAAAATGAAAGAAAATCATTCACATCATTCCTTTTCTCATTAATATTGAAATTTGGATAACTTAGGATTATCTAGTTGTTTGAATCAATTGAAGTCACTAATTTGTTGAATTCCAAAGTAAAAGTTTCAGACCATCTCAAAATAGCATCAATTTAAAACGAGTTCTGTTACAATTATCAGATAACAAGTACCTAAACCCAATCAGTAAATCAATTACTTAGCTTACAAGACTTGAACGAGGGCTCTACCCCTTCCCCATCCAACCCCAATGCCACCTGAGTTGGATCATGGGCATTTGATAAATCAACAATTGTTTTGCACCATTTCTCAAACCTTCTGATTATTTGATTGTGGATAAGGCAAAATCAAACAGGGTCAATATGAGTTTGCGCAACTATAGCACCATGGAAGAACCAGGAACACCACAGATTCTCTACTTATATATATAGCACCATGCCATTGTAAACAATGAGGAAAGGAGGGAAGGGTGAACCTCTTCTTCAGGGTTGGTGTTGGGAAGGTCATTTTTCATCAGCTCTAAGCCACTCCTTGGTTTCCATAAATTAGGGTGAACCTTGGGAGTTGCCTGCATTCAATCAATATCATCAGAATCAATTGACCATCTATGTCTCTGATTTCAATTTCAGAAGGAAAGAGAGGAGAAATCTAACAAGCAGTAAGATTTACATTTTTTTTCCTCCTGTTTTTAAGCTGGCATGTATATTTGGTGACTTAATGCATTATAGAATGCAGTGTTAGTTATTCGTATGGAATGCAGGCTCAGAGTTAGAGTTTATAAGAAATTATGATTCTTTGTTGTGTTAATAAGATATTAAGCATCTTTATTCATAATTTTGTCTTTTGGCAATATAGGTTTTTCTTAATTGAAAATAGGTCCCTCTGTAGTTGAGGTGTTGGTAGTGACTTCTGATCTCATGAGTTTGATAAGAGTAGAAATTGCCCTGCTTTACTAATGCCGGTTACGAGAAGTTAATCCTATAGACCAAAGAAATACTGTTTGAGGTTTAGAAAGATTTAATTTTGAATCTGGTTATTTATGCTAAATCCTTTGATTGGCTTTTCAATGCAATTAGTCGTATGGCATACAGTTCATATTCAAATTACATAGGTATTTTATACAATTATATACATTTGGAATTATATGAACTTGTCTACAAAACAAATATTTGAAGCAGATTTTGGGATTCTTTTGGATAAACAAATATACAAACTGATATTTGGTGCAACCTTAACGGAGACTTGAGAATAAACTTTGACTTAAAACTGGTGGGACTAATGTGATTTGATGATGAACCGAAACCAGTAATGGAATTTTAATACTGACCTGATCTGTAAAGAGCCAAATGTATGTAATAACTTATGAATGCTGCAGCCATTTGACAACCAAAACAAATAAGCTAATGTTTTGAAATATCTTAGCTGAGCGGGTATAGCTGTGCTTGTGAAAATTCTATAGAGGGTATCGCTGGGTGGCTATACTTTTGAAATTTTATATTTAGAGAGTTTAGCCGTAGAGCTAAAATTCTATTTAGATAGTATAGCGAAAATTTCTATGTATGTAGTCTAGCCGCGCGGCTATACTTTTGAAATATTCTATTTACAGAATATAGCCGGTCGGCTGTACGTTGAAATTTCTATCTACAGGGTATAGCCGGCCGGCTAGACTCTTGAAATTTCTATTTCGAGAGTATAGCCCCACGGCTATACTGTTGAAAAATTTCTCTTTACACATTATCGCCGCGCGACTATGTTATTGAAATATTCTATTTGTAGAGTATAGCCGCACGGCTATACTATTGAAATATTCTATTTGTAGAGTATAGCCGCACGGCTATACTATTGAAATATTCTATGCTTTCAAGATAATTCCACATTGCACCAACAATAAAAATATGAATTTATATTTGCAGAATTAGATCTCTCCCAACAAAATTTCTTCAGAAGAGGTTTCTTTTAAAAAGAAATAATATACTTAGTATCTTGAGGTCAATAGATTTTTTTTAAATAAATAATATACTTAGTATCTCTCTACATCACAACATGAAAAATATTTTTTTATTCAAAAAAATGCAAAAAAAAAAAAAAAAAAAAAATTACATTCACCAAATTTGTAACCAAATTTTATCCTAATCCTTTGTACTCAAAACAATTCTTCCTGTTTTAATGAATTTTTAGAATATCCTAGTATTCCATCTTTTAAGCAAGAATTTCAAAGCACCACAATTTGCACACCAAAAAAAAAACCTTCAAAAAGGAGAGGAAGGAGATGAATGTTTTCAAGAATTCTTCAATAATAGGGAACTCATTATAACTTAACCAATGGCCTTGAAAACCACAGTGTTGTCCAAATGTTGATCGTTAATCCAAATAAAAGTATTACCTTTAAAAGCAACCTCTATTAGACCTGCATTAGCAATGAAATCTTGAAAGATATATGTAGTAATGACATTAGAAAGTAAGTATACAATTAAGGGAGATTCTTCAATAAGTATTTTATGTTAATAATTTGTTACATATTTCTAATCTCGACTGTTGTTGGATTGCATATATATATATATTGCATATTAAATCTACCAATACATCTAATGAATGCAATCCAACTCCCGAGATTGGAAATATGTAACTAATTCTTAACGTAAATACTTATTGAAGAATTCCCCTACAATTAAAGTCGCATAACCCCTGCAATCATACCAAAAATGTGTTTTAGCTGGAGGTTTTGGAGAAATATATTTTTAAATCTTCTGCTGGCTACACAAATGTGCGAGAGTAAAGAGGATCCTTGAATTCTTCCTTAGCCGATTCTGGGAGTTTGTGAAATTCTATCTCCTGCTTACTAGATTTAACCAGCAACCATTCACAAAACAAGTCTAACTTTGATATAGCTTAAGACTATTGGAGCAAAAAATTTGTACTTTTTGGGAATAGCCAAACATGGTAGATAGGCTGTTGGAGATGCTCACGCTCTTAGTTACCATGTCCAACTCTAAAGTAACCAATTTTTAAGAGTTCTAAGGATCCTGAGCCTCTACATTTAGAGATGGTGCATTAGTTGTAGAGGCTCGGGATCCAAACTCTTCTAATGACATTCGTTTATAAAAATTATAAGTGACCTTGTTAGAATTTAGGCAGGGCATATAAAAGCACATATTAACATTGGCAATTTAATTCTGCAAGGAAAAACTTACAGACAAGCTGTTATACATAACACAATGCGGTACACGTCATCTTTCACTAATTCTATGAGGGGTAAGGTGAAATTTTCAAACCTATAATAAAACCCACAAGGGCACAACCTCAATCTCTTAAAACAAATATTACAAACAAAAACTAAAAACTAAAAATCCACATGACCGCTGAAACAAAAAATACCCAGAAATTGAGGGGGGAAAAGGAATACCATTGGAAACAAAAGAAACAAATGAATAGAGGAAGAAAAAAGCAAGTATCTCCAGCCTTGAAAAATGGAGGTAGTACTGGAAGATGGATCACCTGTAAGAATGAACAAAAACATTTATTAGAAGGTTAATGCAATTTGCAACATTCAGTATATGCATGAAAATTGTATCGATAAATAGGAGCAATAC